TTCAGCAACGTAATAGATCTTTGACTGCCACCAACTTGTTCGCCGTTTTCGTTGGTGCTCTCACCGGTTCCCTTGGATCTTCGATCTGTCGTGGATTCAGGATCTGCATGACAGGATCTTGATGCAGGAAATCGCGTAGAGCTTGGTGGCGATACACAAACTCGAGATCCTTGTCGGACCAGCTTGACCTGGATTCAGCTTGGTCTTCTTCCGACTCTGGAGCTTGCATCTTCTTCCGCGTAGTCTTAATTGTTTTCGTCTTCTTTCTTGTTTCTTCGACTAGCGGGCTTGGGTTTAGGTACGGTGTTGGCTTAACCGGTGAATCTGCAAATGCATACCGTTTCGCCTTCACTTTCCCTTGTTTTGTTAGCGGATCTTGACTTGCGTCAAGATCCGCAGGGGTCCCCGAGGGGACCTGGGGAGGATAGAGAGGTTTCTCTCCTAGATCCGGATCCGGATCCACCTCTCTTCCGTCGACAGAGTTCCTCCCAAAACTCCATCGATCCGCGGATCTTGTTTCATTCAGCAGCGTCTTCGTCGATCCGACCTCCGACGACGCCTCTTCCCCTGGCTCAATCTTCACTTGAGCATCTTCTTGGGACTCACGGTGAAATCCCGAGTCACCAAAAGATCCGGGCACGCGCACCATTGTGGTGTAGCGGGATCAGCAAAATCTGCGAGATTGCCAGATCCATATTACCAACTGCGCCCAGACACCGACTAACGGAGGGGGTCCCCCGATGATCCGTGTTCTGCTGAACTTTCCTCACCTTGTGTACCCGTCGGTAGGGCGGGATCTGCTCTCTCGGTAACTTTCTGAAGAGTTCAAGTGGTGAAGCTTGAGTGTCTTGGCGAGACGTGGGGATGGGGTGAGCAGCAGTGGAAAATCTTCACTCTGCGTCCGTGGATGGTTCCGTATCCTAAGCGAATATTCGAGCTTATGGATCCCGGGGCCTAGATCGTGGATCTGGCCGTAGGGTTGCCTTGCGGGTGTGTTCCCTTGCCTTTGTGTTGTCCTTTAAGTCGTACTTGCCGCCTCCTGTGACGGGATCTTGAGAGTTGAGAGCCTCTAGGGTGTAACCGACCAAGTAGTAAATTCGGTTAACCTGTCGGATCTGCACGAGTAAAGGAAAAGCTCACTAGGTTGTAGGATCTGGCCAATGTATTATCCAGTTATCACTACCAACACTAGATTCGCAATTCCCAACCTTCTCGGAGCTCGTACGGCCAATGTAGTTCCGGTTCTTGAGGGCAGGAAGGCACTTGCGTGATACTGTGCAAATTGAGGTCTGTATTGATATTTAAGCCTATACCTGCCTGGATTTCTACCTTCTATGTCTTTCATCTGCTAAATCCCTTACCAGGCTCGGCTGCATGTCCCTTCTTCCCTTGACCCATCACCCCAGCTGTGTTATCTTCAGATCCACCGATTCCATGACGTAATCATCCTGGTCACCCTATTTTGGGTACACTCATCCGGATCCAGGTCGCTTGGATCCACTTCACTGTAAGTGCACACTCGTCGTGGATCTGAGCTCTCCAATCATCCAACATCATCTCGCAACCGTCTGTGATCTCCATTGTCCCACGAAAGTTCGAGATCCACTGCATCCATCATCCCTATACCCTGGATCCAGGTCCCTCCAGGCGGGATCCTCCCTCCTTGGATCCGAACTCGGAAGTATGGAATCCGGGGTACATCGCGGTGGATCTTGACTCCTCATTAGTCGTGGCTACTAGATCCACCTTCAGAGGGCACCTACCACCATTCCTTCATAGGATCCACACTCGATCCACCCGTACATAGCGTATCCCATATCCACCCAAGTGGATCCAGGTAAGGGTGGATCCGAGATAAGTCTTGGTGGATCTTGCCTTCTCGTACATCGCTCATACCAGATCCATCGTCATTTCATACGGGGTGCTGCTCGCCATGGCTAATCCACCACCGGCAACTTGCATCCGTGCCAGCCAACCCAAATCCTCTCTAATCACTTGAAATTGTCATTGATTCGGGATAGTGACCCCGCGTCAGGCCCATTCTCTTATTTCTGAGAAAGCACTTTACCACAGAGGGGTGCAGCTGGAGCTCGTAGGTGGCAAGAGTCGCGTGCCACCCACGCCGTGTTCCCTTGACGGCATACGAGCTTTCATGGCTGTCTTCGATCCGAGTCATCCTTGTCAGCGTCTCCGTCGGATGCTCCCCGAGCTTCCTTTCTTCTTTTCTCCGTCAGTGCTGGAGGAAGCTCGGCGGTGCTTGGCTTCTCAGACCCGACCTCGAACTTTAATGCAAGTTCTTGGAGATATGTGGGTGAATCCTTTAATCTCGGCGAGAAGGCCTATCAAGACAGATGGCCAAATGACTCGTTACTTTGTTGCTCACTACGAGCGTCGCCACTGGATCTCTTTCGGCTGCTCCTTTACCGAGTGTGCTACCTGTAGCGTCAGTCCCTTCTCATCCGAGTTCGACTGCATCACACCCGGCTTCGGTCACTCTGCTGTGGTGTAGTGATTTCTCCGTAGTTGCGGATTATCACCCGTCGACAAAGACGTGACACCGCCCAAGTTGTTCAAGCGACGAACCCTCGGTCATGTGATGTACGGAGACGCCACGGTACAAGGGACTCGACGGCGTCACTCCCGAGCTTTCAACGAGTATTGGATACGGTCCATATGTCACTGAATCCAGGCTGTCCTTATTTATTAATAATGGACTGGCCGGATTCGCATTCAGCTGACCATCTACGGTACGAACCCTCAGTGGCGGTTGGGATGAGTTCGCGGAAGACTCAGCGACCCTTGGAAGGCACGTACACCGTCTGGGACAGGGCGCGGACCGTTAAAGATGCTCATGCGACGGTGCAGACGACGCCTGGCGTGTAAGAAGATCCATAACGGATCATTGTTCACTTGGTATTTGTAAAGTTGATTAGGACTTCTTATTAGGAATAGACCCGAAAGGGTAAGCTTAAATACATAACAGACTTTCCACTTAAGCCCACAGAGCGACGCCCGGCTTCAAGGTAAGCGTCGGGTCAAGCTTGTTTGAGTGTGTTATGCCTGTCGGTGAGCTTGAAGCTCTGTAGCGAGGGTTCATCCGGCAAGGCCAAGAGACTTTGTGTATTGGCCGATTACTATCGGGAGGTTTTTACGTGACGGCTTATTGTTGCCTATTTGCACGACTGGGGGTGCTTGTATTGCCTCTCTTTA